AGAGGTGTAGATAAGAAACCTGTAGAGCAAATTCATCAGCTTCGCTTGGCATGCTAGCACACACCTGTAATCCTAGCACTCGGGAGGCTGAGGCATGAGGATTATTGTGAGCTCAAGACTAGCCTGGGCTACAAATTGAGCTCAACGTCAGCCTGAACTGCATAGAGACCTTGTCTCAAAAGGACAAAAGAAAAAGGCAACCATTTACACTGGTTGATATAGGAAATGAAATAAGAAGTTCAAAAGTGGCTTCCTGCCACGGGTGGGAGTGGTCATTATAACCTAAGGAGCTGCCTGGCCATCCCAAGTCTGCTCTGAGTCTAGAAACAAGAAGGGTCTCTATGGTGACACTCTTAAATGTCTTCAATACATGTATTTATTTTACATTTTTTAAGAGCAGAATATATTTCTTGACAGAAAGAAAGCTTCTGTCTGAGAGAGAGACAGAAGGGGTTCCTAGTGGGTTGACAAAGATTCTGTCTTTTCTCAGGAATTTACAGAGCAAAATCTTGAGATGAGGCAGGTTTGTGGTAGTGAAAACATGGCAGGCATGAGATGGGACAGAACTGGGGCCAACCAATAGAATTGCTAGTGTAATTACTCAGGCATAATTGATTAAATCAGGATCCAATGGAGAGGCGAGTCACATTGCAAGCAGGCATGCATACACAGCAGGGTTGTTATTGGTTAGGGGTTGGGTTAGTGGCTCCTTCTGGCTTCTTCAAGGTGATGGAGACCCATCTAGAGAATCAGTCCCTGATGTTTATACTTGGGATGGGGTTGCATTTTTTTGCTCTTTTGCCCTGAGGTCTGGCCCAGGGCAGGAGGTATCTGTTTCCTCCAGGGTTACAAGGCATCTGGTTCTCTTGCACTGACTCCTTGCACGGTGCAGCCCTGTTTCCCTGTTTAGAATATTTCTGTCTAACTCAGGTGCCAGGAACATTCCGTCTTCTGTAGAAGTGCCCCGATCTGCCATGAGGGACAAGTGTGCTTTTTCTGGAGCAAAAATTACATTTTCCACACATTTCTGTCAGGTACAGAGTCTCCCTTTCCATCTTGCAGGTCTCAGTCTGCACCCTAACAGGGGAGCAGGAGTCAGTGGTGCCTCCAGTCTCAGGCTTAATTCTTTCCACCATTCTGATCACCAGCTGAACTGGTGGAACCTGCATGGAATTTCCCCCTAGGATAACAGGGACCCTAACCACTGAATTTGGTGTGGTTCCCCACCAGTTCATTTCAAGAACACAATCAGGATAGGATTGAGGTTGGCACACTGAAACGTCACTGTGTTTGGCCATTGTGGGGAGCTGCTGTTTTGGTGGGGGGAACCCTAAATTCTTTATTCTTCCCCTTCCTCTTCACCTCCTTTGAAAAAGTTGCCAGCATCTATTCATGTATTTATTAAAAGTTCTTATCGTGTGTCTTATTATGAACACTTTAACAACCTGGCTAATCGACCAGCACAGCATGTAAAGCACACGGTCCATAAAGCTGTATGAAGATCACTTTCTCTGTTATCCTGTATTGTCTTTCATTTATTTTGCACTTTCCTTGCACAGATGTTGGATTCCTCATCTAGGAGAAAACATGCAGCATTTGACTTGTGCGTCTGTTTTACCTCACTTAATGTCATGACCTCCAGGTGCAGGCATTTCCCACAAGTGACTCCCATTCACCCTTCATTATGGCAGAACAGTATTCAAATGACTCCCTTTCATCCTTAAGGACAGAGTAGTACTCCACTGAATATACGTACCACATTTGTGTATCCATTCATGTACTGATGGACACTTAGGCTGTTTCCAAACTCAGTGATTATGAACTGTGCTGCTATAAACACGGATATTTCTGTAGCACTGTAATGCTGACATTGTAACTCTTTGAGGAAAACAACTAGTGGTCAAGTGGAATTCCTCCTTTTAGGTGTTTAAAGAATCTCCATAGTGGTTTCCAAAAAATGATCAAGAGAGTCCCATTCTCATTACAGCTTCTCCATCATTTGTTATTGTTTGATTTCTTGAGGATGGTCATCCTTTGTGGAATAAAATAGAACCTCAGTGGGGTTTTTTATGTATGCATATATGCCCATAAGTAATTCTTTATTTGCTTATTTATTTCTTTTTTGAGGCAGGTCCTGCTATGTAGCCCAGGCTGCCCTTGAACTCAAGGCAATCCTCCCGCTTCAGGCTCCTTGAGGTCTGTGATTACAGACATGGGCCAGCACACCTACCTCTCACTGTTGTTTAATTTAATTTTTCAAATGGCCAGTGACATTCAACACTTTTTGTGTACAGTATTTATTGATCCTTCACCCTTCATCTGCTCTGTTTAACTGGGTCTTTAAATTCGGGATGGGTCTAGTGGCGTTTTAGTTGTTTATACATTCATTTGTCTGAGGAATAGCTGGAAAAATATTATCTCATTCTGGAGGTTGACTCTTCACTCTGTTTCTAGTTTCCTGTGCTGTGCAGAAAGGTTTTAATCGGATGGGCTCCATTTGCTCATCCTTGGTGCTATTTCTTGTACAACCAGGGTTCTGCTCAGAAAGCCATCCCCAACACCTGTGTCTTCAGGACTTTTACCTTTTTGTCTTCCAGCAGCTTAAATGCTGCTCTTTAATATTTGGATCTCTGAGCCCAGTTGAGTGCAGTTGAGTGCGCAGTGAGACCTGTGGGCCCAGACACGCTCTGTGGCGCTGGAGAGCCAGTTTGCCCAGCACCACTTCCCAGCCGGGTTTCCTCCAGCAAAGTATTTGCCCCTGTGTCAGAGGTGAGGAAGCTGAGCAGGTGTGCAGGTGGTCCGGCCTCCTGGCTTCTACTTTACCGACCTCTGAGCCTGGTGGTTCTGACCAGGACCGTGTTGGATTCGGTTTTTAATCGCTGTAGCTTTTAGTGTAACTTGGAGTCCAGGACCGTGCGCTTCCTGCCTGGCCCTTGCTGCTCAGAATCGCTTTCACTACTCTGTGTCTCTTCGGGTTCCATGGGATCTCAGGATCACTTTCTCTAGTTCCCTGGGAAACTGCTTTGCTTTTTCCACTGTGGGTGTACAGGTGTGTGGGTCCATTGTGGAAATAGCTGCCAGCGCCTTTTGTACCCCAGCCAAGGTGGCAGCTTGAGGATGATGCCCTCTTAGGAAGAAGCTGGGTTCGTCAGGACGCCACATAAACCTGAAATCAAAGACCATGACATCAGACTGAGTACCTCGGTTCAGATCCATGGATACAAAAAGCTAAGGCCCCAACAGAAGAGCCGTCTCTGTCACTGAGACCCCACTGGGGAGCCTTGTGGTGCCTCCACATGGCCTTTTTTAGTCTCTGTGGACATAGGGATCCAAAGGCAAGGAGAATCCAAAGACCATGTGAAAGGAAGCCTTGGTCTACAATGCACAACTCATAGCTTAGTCAATGAAGACATAAGGAAAGAAAGGACTTGGTTCACCAATGCCTGGATTAAACTGAGGAAGAAGAGCTTTGGGACACCCTGAACAAGAGGGACAGTGCATGGAGCACTCAGGAGAGCTTCGGGTAGGTATTCCTGGCATTTGCAGTCCATTTTAACTAGGGATCGGTGAGGACAACAGCTCCAATCCAATAAGAACATGGTGAAGAGAGGCTCAGAACTGTCCAGATAACACTTAGGAGACCACCAGGAAAGTTGCCAAATCACCACAGTGCCAGTCCCAAGGCCCCCAGGACAGCTTTCTCTAGTAATTAGAACTAACCACATGGAGGGAGGTCAATAGAAGAAACAGGAGGAAAGGATACTGCCAGATCCCTTTTACACTCAGGGTCCCTATGCGGAAGCTGCTGGGGTGCCCAATCCAGATGGGACACAGTGTAGCTGCCCTGCTCTACTGGTGACTGTCCTCAGCTATCAGCGCTGCTTCCCATGGAGCTGCCGCTCTGACTGCATCCTCTTCTCCTGCCCATGGTGGACTGCAGCACGACGTAACTGAGCAGGAGCTCGCACTTCAGCCTCCTCGCCCCTGGGACACGCAGGTCTGAGACCCCACGCTCTGGGACTCCCGGCGTTCCATGAGATAGAAGGTACGGAGCATGCACAGTGTCTCTGCTTCTCTTCAGGCTGGGAGTCCTAGATTTCACCTGGTCAAGTTTCTTTATAAATCTTTCCTGCAAGAGTCCCTTTTAATGTTTTGTTTGTATTTTACCCAGCTAGGCACACAGATCTTAGCAAAGCACAACCAGACACACGGCTTCCCGCACACACAGATGAGTGCAATGTCTGCTGAATACAGCCTGCCTTAAGTCGAGAATGGCCCAGGTATTTTTCACTATTCCTCCGATCCAGGAGTGTCAGGATACAGCATTCAAGATAAGCCACTAAAAACAACCCTGCCAAAGTCAGAAACTTGGAAAGCAGGAGATTCAATCCTTTCTTGGACAGTAAACCCAAGATCAGGATCCAACCTGAGAACTAGGCACACTGCATGATAGGCTATCAAGAGCCACCGAAAAGGGGACAGTGGGTGTCTCAGGAAGAGCGCCATGGGCTGCAGCCCCACACCCAGGGTTGGAGAGAAATTGATTCACTCAGAAAAGGATCAAAGGAAGTGCTGTGGGGAACGTGGGAGATGATGGAGGGCACAGGAACTCAGGTAAAATGACAGAGACTGGCATGTCCTTGGAAGCAGCGTCAGGGCACATCCCTCCAGGGGCCACTGCCAGACTGCAATCCACATTGGGTCCCTCCATGCCCAACTGCTGCCTCACTGCCACCCTTCACCCCTTCTCCAAGGGAGGCCAGCGAGAGGCCTCGTTTCCCACCTCCCTGGCCCAGAGTGAGCTCTGCTCCCAGAGCTTTGCTCTCCTGCCCAGAGTCTGCTCCTCCACCAGGGCACATCCTCAGCCAGGAGCCTGCAGGTGCTGAAAACCTCCTTCCTGTCTGAGGATGAGGAGTGTGGAGGGCTGCAGGGGCTCTGCTGAGAATGATGGGTGCCTAAGGACAATGATTCAAGAAGGAAAAACAAGTAGGCAGGATGCCTTTATGCAGGTTGTTTGAAAACTTCAAGTTTATTTAAGAGGTTAGGATAGTTCCAGGTGAGAAAATGGGGGAGAAAACAGATATTTCCATAGGGATCCCAGAGTATTTGACAGAGTTTAAACAGGTATACATTTGTGAGCCCATAACGGGGTGGAGGGTCAACATGTGGAGGCCAAAAGCAATCCCAGGTGGAGCTGAGGTTTCATAATCCCCCCCTCATAACTCAGCTGCCCAGCGGTCTACACCAGGGCTGACTAGTGATGAAGCACCCTAGCAGGCAGGGCCATGCTCTCAGCAGCACGAGGCGCTAGAGCAGCTGGGTTGGCAGCAGCTAGAGATGCAGCACTGGGGCCTGCAGCAGCTGGACACACAGCAGCTAGGGCGGCAGCAGCTAGAGATGCAGCAGGTGGGCTGGCAGCACTGGGGCCTACAGCAGCTGGAGATGCAGCAGGAAGGTCTGCAACATGTGTTCCTGCAGCAGGTGGTCTCACAACAGGTGGGCTGGCAGCAGCTGGAGATGCAGCAACTGGGGCGGCAGCAGCAGGGCTGGCAGCACTGAGGCCTGCAGCAGCTGGAGATGCAGCAGATGGGCCTGCAGCAGCAGGGCTGGCAGCACTGGGGCCTGCAGCAGCTGGAGATGCAGCAGCTGGGCCTGCAGCACTGGGGCCTGCAGCAGCTGGAGATGCAGCAGCTGGGCCTGCAGCACTGGGGCCTGCAGCAGCTGGAGATGCAGCAGCTGGGCCTGCAGCAGCTGGGCTGGCAGCACACAGACTGGCAGCACTGGGGTCTGCAGCAGCTGGGCACACAGCAGCTAGGCTGGCAGCAGGTGGTCCTGCAGCAGGTGGTCTGGAAACACCTGGGCTGGCAGCAGGTGGGCTGGCAGCAGCTCTCCTGGCCACAGCCCTGCTCAGAGCAGAGGGAGCCACAACAGGAGTTGACCATGGTGTTGTCGGGCCTGAGGTTCTGGGTGGTTTGTGAGGTGGAGGTCTGTGAGGAGTGGAAGCCTCCCTGCCATGGGCCTCTTTTATACCCGGCTAAGTGCTTCCTGTCATTATTAGGGCCCTCTTCCCTTGTAGATGTTTGTGTTAAAAAGTAGGCAATTACCTAATTAGGTGAGTGTGTTTCCCTGTGGAAGTGTCCCTGGCAGACACAATGCATCATTCCCTTTCCTGATTGTTGGATGGATCAACATCATTCTTCCTTAATAACTTGTGGTTTTCTTTCTTGCTCCTTTTAGAGTTTTCTGGCACAGTTCAGGAGCAGAATATAAGAAATAGTAAAAGTAGCCTTTGTATTTAAAAGACATGGAGAGAAGCCCATAACCAGCAAGGGTTTGCCTTTCTACACTCCGCGATACAAGGGTGTGGGTTATATGTCACCTCTGATCGGATGTGATGCTTGGGGTAGGCATTGATGTCATGCAAGGAGCTGATTGGAATTTTCTTTGCATGCACAAAGAAAGGAAGGAGGAAGTTATCATCGGGGAAGAAGGAGGAAGTGGCCATCAGGGTCAGCATCCCCAATTTGGCCTTCCACCATGTTGAACTATCAGCATAATGTCCTGAATTTATTCTAGGGCAAATTTATTCTAGGGCAAAACTAATTTATTTCCATCTTTTTATTGTTAGGAAAAGGGTGAAGACTCTCTTTTATTTCTTCCTCCTGAACAGGGCTGTCATGTTGGGTCTGGGGGTCGAGAGAATGACACTTGATGCCCACATAAAAGCTGGTACCAGGTGTTTCAGCTGGGATAACATTCACATCCTAGATTGGAGAAATGAAGAGACAAGGTGCATGAGGTGTATGAGGAGGCTGGCCACCTTCTAGTTAAAGGACCAAAGGGAGGTATCAGGAAAGGTGCCCTGGATCCAAATATGTGGTTCCATCAGGGCCTTAGAGAGGAAGAGCCTGAAACACAGCATGGAGTTGGGAGGGCTGGAGGTGATTGTTCCCCATCTGAAAGGGTAAAGGTAAAAGTGTAGGTAGGGCCTGTCTGTGGTCCAGGGCTCTAGCTGGAGAGACTGGAAGCAGTAGAAAGGTAAGGCCTGACAGGTGGATCATGTCTGGGAGATTGTAGAGCAGGGGCGGGGAGGGCCGTGGCTGTGTCACTGTAAGTTGGAGGAGATCCTAGACCCAGTAGGGTCTCATGCAAGGGATTAGGAACCAAATAGGATAACAAAAAATGACCTCAACTGAAAGTTGTGGCTGTGGGGCCTTGGTAAGAAGAGATGGGTGGGAAATAGGAGATGTGATGACACTCAGGATGTTTAAAGTCAGGGCAGGTAGGGCTAGGAGGGCACTGCTGAGCTTGAGTGATTTGGAATCAGGATGGCAGCCCAGCAACCTTGATCACCATTGAAGTCCTTAGCAAGACCAGGTAGGGGCCACACCACCTTGGCTGCAGTCCTGTTGAGGGATCTGAGAAATAAAGCCTGAGCCATTACCTGAGGGATACACTCTGAGGTTGCCCAAACCTTGGGATGATTTCCTGTAACAGGACTTTAGTAACTACATCACAGTCTCCCTGGTGGTGGGAATGCTTCTATCCATCCTGATAAAGCACAGACAGAGGGAAGAAGATACTTGAATGTTATGTGACGGGGCATGAGTGTAAAATCTACCTGCCAGTCCTGACCAGGTGTCCATGAAATTGATTAGTAGGAAAGGAAGCGGGTGGTTTGAGTCTCTGAGGTGTGGTTCTAGGTGTGAGTAGAGACCTGGGGTGAGTAGAGACCTTGTTGAGACCTGGGGTGTCTGTTTCAGTCTACATAAACACCAGGAATCCTGATAATCAGGGTGTAGGGGGGATGGTAAAAAAAAGGCATCTTTTAGGTCTAGGACTATGAAGTGAGTGGTAGAGGGAGGGATAGGAGAAAGCATATTACAAGGGTTTGGAATCACTTGGGCGAATTGGGGTAACAGCCTCACTGAGGACCCTAAGGTCTTGTATTAGATGGTAGGACCCATCAGGCTCGAGTACTGGGAGAATGGGAGTACTGTAAGGTGAATGGGTAGGCTTAAGAAAACCATTGTTGTAAAGGTACTTAATTATAGGTTTAAGTCCCTTTAAATGTTTGAGACCTACAAGATACTGGGGAATGCAAGGAAAAATTGAGGGATCCCTGAGACGAATTAATACAGGCATGGCATGGTTATTTTTGATGGGGTTCGTGGTGTTCTAAATTATGGGATACACCAGAGAGGGGGAGAGGGGAAGGGATGGATTTGCATTGCACTGTGAGGGTAGCTGGAGGAGGAGAGCTGTGGGCTGGGAGAAGGTAAAGGAGAAGTTAAGCTTTTGGAGAAGCTCCTACCTAAAGGGGGTCAGGGACATGTTGGAATTGCTAGAAAGCTATGGGTAAAGGAGAGAGATTGGAATCTGCATGGAATGGGCCCTGTCCTCAGGAGCTGTGTAATTGGCCATCAACACCAATTACAGAGACTGAGGACTTAGTACAAGGGCCTGAAATCTCAGGAAGAATACATGAACTCTATGTTCACAAGTACAGAGAGTGTTTTACCTGAGACCCCCAGTTTTACCTGAGGCTTCCTTAATGGGGGCTGCGGGCATTAATCTTCAGCACCCAGTCCAAGTAGATCAGCCAGTGATGAATCCAGTGGTGAAAAAAATCTCCTGTGAGGCCAAGAAGTTAGAGGCTGGCTTATCTGCTCTCTAGAGCGAGGAGAGTTGCTCTTCCAATGGACCTTCTGATTGCAGAGAGGGCACTCTCTTGCCCACCGTCCTTTCTTGACACACTTGAAGCACGGTCCAGGAGAGGCTCAGGAAGCCCTGCCTTCTTTTGGTTTTCCTGTTTCAGAGCTCCAACAGCCACTGCTAAAGTTTGTTATTTTTTCTTTTGATTTTTATCTCTATTGATGAAAACCATATTAAGAAGGACTCCCTCTGGGGTGTGAGGGCTGAATTTAACCTTTTGTCTTGGGATCTGGCCCACAGTGGAAGGTATCTCTCTCCTCCATGGTCACAAAACCTCAGGTACTCTGTGATGGCTCTTTTTAGGCCCTAGCCCTGTCTGAGGGCCTATAATACTTTTGACTGACTAAGCTCCCTGTAGCATTTTTCCTGTTAAGAAGTAACCCAGTCTGCCATGAGGGTAATGGGCAGAGACCAATCTGACTTCTTCGGGCTGTAAAGGGTTGAAGTTGTCGAAATTCAGTCAGGGATACTCTGCAGAGATTTTAACTAGTAGCCTCAGCCGGAATTTTCATGTTGTGTGGGTGAACAGCTTTAAGTCTAGAGGAGACAAAGGTAAAGAATCAATGAAATATGCATGGGCCAAATAACAGAATCACAGGATAATTATGAGTATAGCCCTGCTAATGGCTTCCCATAAGGGTAAGGGAAAAGTCCAGGGAATTTTAGAAACTGACATGTCATTCATTTGTCATACACATATTTAGTTTTTACAATTCTATAATACCTCCTGTGTTGTTAGCATGTCTACTGCCATCTGATTTTGGAGGATAGCCTGTTTTATTAATTTTACCTTTTTTTATTTAGGAGAGAGCTCAGCTGCAGTGTCATTTAAGGCCAGTTGAATATAGCTAATTATGGCCCCAATATGCATCATATAACGATTTTCTGGAAAAGATCTGGTGGGTCCCAGTAAAAAGAATCTAAAAGGAATTTAGTATATTTGTTATTGTTTTTGTCAACATGATGCCTTGGAGTTTGGCATCTTTTAGGCAAGAACAAACTTTAATCAAAGCATGTATAATCAAAGCATAACCAGCAGGGCTGACAATTAAGTTTAGAAACTGCTTTTAGGTTATAGAAATTGTAACTCATTGGCTCTCAGGTCCTTTTGTGAGGGACATTACATAAATTTTTGCTTGAAAATTATTATTTGACTGATGACCTCATGTTGATTTGACTTTAATTTCTTGGCTGGAGCACAAGAAAAAGGCAGATTCTAGATCTAAAAGAAAATATGTGTCATCATACACAATCCCAATTTCACATTTGAAGGTGTCCTATGTAGGTGACTTAGTCATATGAACTTTAGTTGGGGTGTCTCCTATAAGGCTATCGAGACTATAGGGCCTCTGATTAATGAACAAGAACTGGTTGAAGTTACCAGGTGGCCACTTTCTTATTCATCAGTAGAAGTCCCGTCCAGTGTCTCCTCACCCCCAAGGGATTTTGTTTAACCAGTTTTAACAACATTTTGACCAGCTGGCAACTGAAGTGGAAGCATGCTTTTAAATCTATAAGCCAAATAAACCTGGAGGAAAATGCAAAAGAAAAAGGAAAAATGATTGTTGAGCTCAAATAAAAAGGAACAGCTGTTTTGAGAGCAAACACATGGACAAACATGGGCAGACAATCTGTACAGTATAAACAGACTGGACAAACACACAACAGATACACAAACTGACAAACATCTTACAAAATCAGAGTGCACTCAAATATAGTTGGCCCACTTGAACTATAGTAAATAGACCAGTGTGGACCTTTTTGTATGTTAATTAATAGAGATCCCTTGAAATAAGAAGAGCAGAAAAGGAACCTATGTTGTGGTTACTCTGAGGTCGGTTGGCAAAGGGAAAAAGGAAGATGAATACGAACTAGTCCCTCAGGACCAGCCTATTCCTGCAGTGGGACTAGGGACTGAGGCCAAGAGGGTTCTGGAGCTGGAAGTATAGATGGCCACCGAGCTTCCAACCACCCAGCAGGCATCTGTGGGCACTTACTGGGTGATCAACCACAAAATGGCCACTCACAACCATGTGAAAGGGAAGCATAAATGGTGACTGGTTACCATGAGACCCACAGCAAGATGGTTGCTGCCAGTTACATGGTGAGGGAGCACAAGATGGCCACTGCTCATCATGCGACCTGCAACAAGATGGATGCTGAAGACCATGTGATATGGGATCACAAAACGGTGGTCAAATACCACGTGCTAGGTGGCTGAAATGTGCGAGGCCTCGTGAGGTCTGTGAAGAAAATGGAGATGCTAGAGTAGGGGA